GCGGGTGCGTCAATTTGCGTCGCATTCTCATCTAATTGCTTGTGTTGGCTCGCAGAAAATCATTCGGAAGAAACACTTCTCCAAAACCAAACACAGCAAGTTCAACGAGTCGGGCCAGCTCAGCGCTTTCTACCTGTTCTCCTTCGGCTGGGGCGCAAGCATCCTCTTCTCTGTATGCATTTGTTTCTCCCTGTCAAAATGTGCTTAGTCATGCATTTTTTTTTTTTTTTATAAACTTTTACCTATTCGCTTTTTTTAATCAAGAAATTGTAATCTTACAAGAAGGCATTTTTTTCACATATTTTAACTTTTTTCTCACTGGGACTTTTTTTTTTTTCTTTTAAAGAATTCTTTTCTCATTCTGTCTTTTTGCCATCACATGGAAATTTGTTTTTGTTCTCATAATGACTTATTCTGATAATCGTACTTTTTTTTTGTATGATTATAATATCGGAAACTTCTGACTTGTCACACCATTACACGTTTTTGTTCATACTAATTTAATTCTAACAAAAATAATCATAGAACTTTTTTTTTTTAATCCAATTTTTGGTTTTTGCTGGTAGAATTCTCATCTTGTGACTTCATGTTCTCTTAATGACTTTTTGGTGATATTTCCTCATAATTATTGTAATATTGCATTTTTTTTTCTCGTAATCTTCTGACTTTTCATCAAAGCAGTTTTTTGGTGCGACTTTAATTGTTACATTTTATTTCCTTATTACAATTTTTTCTCGTAATTGGACTTTTTTAAAAAAAAATCAGATAATTTTGAGTTTTTATTGTATTCTGCCTTTTTCTTAACGTGACTTTTTCTCATATTCTATTTTATCAAAACTTTTTTTTTCTTATCATGTGACTTTTTCACGTAACTTTGTAACAGAAGCTTTTATCTTGCATTCCAACATTTCTGCCCAAGAAAATGAAACAAAAATATTGTCTCTTTTTGCCTTGCATTTGATCGGCCCTCTTTTCTGTGTCACAGGAGAACTTCCTGTTCAATCCCAGTTCGCTGTGGGAAGGTTACCCCCACATGCTGATGCCGTAAGTAAATGACTCACTAAAACAACATGGGGTGGGGGAGGAAAAAAAAATCATATTCATGGTTGTGAACTTCTTCACGTTAATCTTGCCGAGCCAGGCTGCAGATGAAGTTCTACTACATCTGCCAGATTGGCTATTGGCTTCACGCGCTCCCTGAACTCTACTTCCAGAAAACAAAAAAGGTAACGGCACATGATGATGATAGCTTATTGCTTTTTAATGTCGGACTCTAACAAAACAGTCAACACTTACTATGTGTTGTAAAAAAAAATTTTGAAACCACTTTTAGGAGGATATCCCGCGCCAGCTGGTCTACATTTTCCTGTACCTGGTCCACATCGCCGGCGCTTACATCCTCAAGTAAGATAACCAGAGAGCCTTATTTGAATCGGCAGCAAACACGTGGGTTGCCAAAGTGTGCACACCCTCTTTACGACCGCGTATGTTTCTCTTCGGAATGAACCAATCGCAATCGAGCTTGCGTTAAATGAGTCAGCACATACCTGGCACCCTTTCAAGTGTCTCCGATTGACCCGAAATGAAGTTAAGTTGGCCTCTCCTCATGGTAGTCTTGTTTGTTTTCCAGTTTGAACCGTCTTGGTCTGGTCCTGCTCGTGCTGCACTACTTTGTCGAGCTCCTCTTCCACGTTTCCCGCCTCGTCTATTTCAGTAACGAGAACAGACAACTGGGGTAAGGTCACCACCAAAAGCTTGTACAAAAGTCATAAAATGACATCTGTCAGGTTTTTTTTTTTTCTACAAATGATTGACTTTTATTGTCTCTATTTTTTTATGGACGCTATGAATTTGAATCAATGCCATGTGAAAGATTTTTTTTCCCCAAAGGAATTACTTTTTTTTGTTTTGTTTTTTTAAAGTGACTTCCCCATATGTCATTTTTCATTCGGCATCCTGTGGTTTTCAGCTTCAGGGTGTGGGCCGCCCTCTTCGTCCTCGGGCGTCTCCTCACGCTCTCCCTCTCCGTCCTCACGGTGGGCTTCGGCCTCGCCAACGCAGACAACCAAGGCTTCGATTTGGCCACGGGAAACTTCAACGTTCTTTTCGTGAGGTGAGCGTAATGTCGGTCTGCACCAAGCAGCCTTTCGTCTGCCTTTGTGTTCTTTATCTGTGGTTGTTCACCCTCCCCTTACAACCTTTCTTCCTAGGATCACCGTGCTGGCCGGTGTGTGTCTGACGCAGGCCTTCATGATGTGGAAATTTATCAACTTTCAGCTGCGCCGCTGGAGGGAGCACGCCTCAGTGCAGACCCTCAAGAAGAAACAGGGACCCTCCAAGAGCAAGGCAAAGAAAGGTGAAGCCCATTTCAGATTTTTTTTTTTTTTATTTTTAATATAAACAGTAATACAGCCCAATAAACACTTAGGAATCCTTATGACTTCGAAGTTTCTTCCCATACTTGCAAAAAAAGGGAGCTTTAGTTCCCCTTTAAGTAGTTTATTCTAACCAAGCGTCTCTTTGTGTGTGTCTGTGTGTGTGTTTAGCCAACGGTGTCAATGGCGTCAACTCCCACGCCGCAGACTCACCGAGATCCCGGAAGGAAAAGTCTTTTTAAAAGATGCTCCGTCAATAGCCCTTCCCTCTCGTTAGGGCCCCTTCCCTCTCGCTCCTCAAGAAGCTTCCCAAGTGGCCGTCGGATGGATTTATGAATTGTCGGAAAGGCCGCGCCGCTGTGCCATTTTCGGGTGGGAACGAACCAACAAATTGTGGAATAAACTATTGCAAAAGAAAAAAAAAAAGACCTTATTTAAGAAAAAGTGCCTATTGATACAGATCGTTTGTACAGGGTGTGTCATTTTTTTAAATTGTGTGTTTTGATGCCCCCAAATGTCTGTTTCATTTCACCCCCCCGCCACACACACACACATAAAAGTCTTGTATGAATTACTTCACTTTCCTTTTAGTGTCTTACCCTAACCAGCCATAGCTTTGATTTCTGTTTTGCAGCTGAGCAAACACGACTGCGTCACTGTCTGACAAAGTTGAAACATGCAGGTAGATGTACATCTTTTTTTTTTTTTTGGATTTTATAAATAAAAACACCCAGTCGGTGCTGGATGAGGGCTCCCAGTTAATTCAAGGAGTTATTAGGAGAGAGGGAACTCTGCGTTTTTTTTTTTCTGCATTTCTATTGCTTATGAGAAGAAGAGGGATTTGTTGTAAAAATGTCGACGGTTTTCCAGTTTTTGATTGTGCCAAATAAATCTGATTGACTGTTGCTGTGATGGCTTTTTTTTTTTTTTTTATGCCACTGAAAAAGATTGTCTCTCCCTGGAGCTTGATCAGGAGGATGAGTCATATTGGCAACAGGTAAATTGTTTTATTGTAAAAAACAAATGTGCATTTTACTTGTATAACTAAATGTTGAATGGGTATTTCAAAAAAGGCCAAGTGTGAAGTAATTTCATGAAATGCCAAATAGGGTCACAATGAAAGTACTTAAACATTGTCCACCAAATAAAGCATGAAAAAATAATCAGGATGCAAACAATGTGCCCAGACGAGATTCCAAGATTGGTAAAATATAGGCTGGTATTATTTTTATGATTTGAAGATGCATGCATGTGCACATAATTTTATGTTTTTGTCTATCTGATGACATTGTTTAAAAAAAATAATCAGACTTCATGTACAAGCAGTTAGCCTACTCGGTACTTGAGTATTCTTTTTAGCAAATAATTTTTTGACTTGTACGATTGAAATGTACTTCCAGAACAATTTGTCGATCGGGGTTTGCCTCGAGCCGAAAACTAACGTTCACCGTTGCTAGCTTCTCGAGTTGGCTTTCGGCCAATGTCGCAACCTTCTACTGTTCATTCCACAAGAGTTGGCAGCTATGCTTGGACAAAATCATCATCATCTATCCAAAAATCACACTTACTTTTTTTGCAAATCCTTGATCATAAGCAGACCGGTTGAGAAAGCAGTCATCTTTGAAGTGGAGATAGCAGAGAACACTCGAAGATGATGGTGTGAAATTCATTCACTTCATGCGAATAAAAGATGTCCATTTGTGTGCCCTGCTATCCTTCGGCCACTGGTACAACTTTTCTGTCGATTGCGAACAATTCATTGCCACACACTGCCGTGGCATCTTACCAACAAGCAATGCAACAATTTTGCTGTTCAATAGCGGACTTCCCTCGCAATTCTCCATGTGACGTCATTTCCGATGATTGCCAAAGAAAAGCATTTTCGTTGTCAAGGGCGTTGCTAAGGGTTAAACAAAGAATCTGGAAGGGTTGCGTTAAAAAAAAATAACGGAAATATGCTTATAATTGTTCAGCCATTGATTGATATTACTCAAAAACATGGTTGGCCAACTTTACTTCACACTTGGCCTTTATAAGGTCTGCACCTGGAGGCAGTATAATGTAGTCATTGATGGAGCAGACTGTCACAATCGCTTTATAAACTACTGTACAGTTACATTCGTCGTTGGTCATTTCTGGGCATGTTCTGAATGTGGTCAGTTGATAACTGGGTTGCACAATTTTACACAATAACTTTTTCTTTCTTCAATTGAATTGATTGACAGTAAGTAGGCTACTGCGGGTTTTAATGTTGTTTTTCGTAAAAAGCTTGAAAAGATTTCTAATAAGTGTAATTCAGACTTTTTACGTTTTTTAATGGGACGGTTAACATGATTTTCACGATCTCGAGGTCACGATAAAAGGTCATTTTAAAACCTGTTCCTACTTTGGTCACTTGGGAGCGGTGTTGCTCAATTTTACAAAAAGAAGTGTGAACAATTCCCCTTAATGATTTACAGCAAATTAAGTGGAAAAAAGTGTGCCAGTCCCATCAGTAAAATGATTATTTTTGTGAAATGCTGATAAAAGTTTAAATAATAAACATGCCCTTTTTTGTTTTAAAACGCACTTTCGACACATTTTTTAAACACGTTAACATATGGACGACTACTGAAGTAGCCATTGTGGCCCAAAAACAGCAAATACAATAAAAGAAAACAATAATGCGAAGTACGTTGAAAAGGAGACGGGAATCGCTGGTGGACCGTACGGCGGCGGTGGTCGTAGCTTGCCGGAGGAGCCCCGTGATGCGCTTTGGTGCGGGGGGGAGGAGGAGGAGGGGGAGGAGGAGGGGTGGAGGGGGAAAAAAAGCTAGCCTAGCTACCAGCCAGATAAACACTCAGCGGTGGCTTGCGGACTCGCAGCAGTGACATGGCGGCACAGTTAGCCAACGCTAACGTCGTTCCACCGCCGCCTTCGCGAAGGTCAGCTCAGCCCATGACGCACAGAATCTAACACCGAAGAGGACGGACGACTCAAGCGTTAACACGTAAGTGGGCATTTTGATGTTTTTCCTTCGACGAGTCCCGGTACCAGCAAGCCCCAGCAACCCCCACCCACCACCACCACCACCACTACCACCACCACCTCCTCCTTCTTCTTCTCCTCCTCCTCCTCCTCTTCCACAGCCGCCACTAGCTCGTCAATCTCGGTCGTCTGAGCGCGACGTACTCGGGCTCCCTTTTAGCTTACTTAGCTTTTTAGCTTCTTGGTGTCAATAGTGTGTTTCTATCTACCCCGCGAACTCAATTAAAACGCATTAAGAGGGCGAGTTTACAGGCGCTTTATGGCCATGTTTGTCAACGGTGTGTTTAAAAAAAACAACGGTTCCCTTATAATCTCAGTTATACAGGGCGATAAATGTACTTTGTATTGGATTTTTTTTTTTGTTAGGTTTTTTTTTTTGCTGAGCGAGCGAGTACGAGACGAAGTTGGGTCAGTGCGAACGTAGTTAGCATGCTAAAGAGCCCCATGGCTTGCCTGTTTGAAATATGTTTTTCTCCCTATATTTTTTTGGCGACTGGTCACATCACAGAACTTGATGAAATCACAGCCGAATTGTGCCAAGGGAGCCAAACTGCCACGTCGCTTCGCGTTATCGAGTTTGGCAACAGTTCCAGTGAGTGAGTGTTAGGGGTTTTGTGCAAGTGTGCGAAATGGCAAGCGGGTCTCGCTGTGCAATTCACGTTTTCGCTTTATCGTGACTGCTCGAGTCGACGTGCGCAGTAATGCCACTTTTATATTAGCGGAAAACCGCGAGTAATTGACGCCTTTTAAAGAGTTGTTGTTTTATAATTGCCTGCATTAATAGCTATTATAGCACGCTATAAATATACCCCCGACCCCCACGTATGATTCCAAACATTTTGATATCATTTTACACCTGAAAAATAAATGATTTGTAGATGATATGATGCACATGCAGCGAAAACGCCACGAACAACCCCGACCCAACTTAGCTCATGCCCCACATAGGTTTGTCGAAGGCTCAGTTGCTTTAATATACCTTGGCACAAATGACTGTACCACCTCTGTTACTTTATGTTTAAACTGAGCTTTGGCGGCATCTTATGTTTTTCAAAAGAGCACAAAGTCAAGGCGTGCATTTCTTAGTAAACTGTTAGTATGCCGGGGATTACTGTACCTGTACGATGGCCTCCTGCTTGACTGGTTCTAGGCTACGCAAACAGTTGTCTTTTGCAGTGACTCGTCAATGCCACTAATGCAGGCGGAATGCATCTCAGGGAACAGGTTAAGCGGTTTCCCCGTGCCCACCTGACCACACGCCGGCCCTCCTGTCACATCACTGGCATGGGTCCTTGACATGACATGTTGCACAGCTGCGGGCATGGAAAGGAGTCGCGGCCTTCTGTCAGACCACTGCAAGTCAAAGGAGACGGACAGACGTGGCATGTAAATTGGGGGCAGGGGTATTCTGCTAAGTTTGCAAAATGGTGGATGTAACTGGTGCTGAGGTATAGTAGGAATTTCAGCATTGAGGAATGGTTGGTTCGGAATGGTGGGCTTGAAGTGGTATCACAATTTTTCGGGGCTTTGGGGGTCGTATCAAGGTTCTAATAAGTAATGGGGAGTTTGCCGTTGGTTCCCTCAAGTTAGCCAGCTTCTCAGGCTATATGAAAGTACCAAAAAGAATGGCCAGGATGAAGTCGACCCCCCCATACATGTTTGCTTTGGAGGTAGTATCAAGGTACATAAAGGGTTGCAGTTGAAGACTTCCACAGTGCCAGAACTGGGGTGTGAGGTTCACCACTCTCCTGCCCGGTTGGGTGAAAAGCAAATGTCACTCTCCATGCAAGATTTTGTACTTCACGCTAGATGCTGTCACTGCGGCAAAAATCTCTCATCTTTCCGTCTCACCGCCAAACTCCCCGTAGAGGTAATCGGGGCTACCGTGTGGATAAATATTTAATGTTTCCTTCATTACGCAGATAATTTGAAACAAAAACTGGATATTATGACCTATAAGCGCCCTTTGCCCTGTGATTAGAAGGCTTTGTTGCATCACCTGACTGATATTGTAATCATGTGACCCTTGTTCTCCGGAGCAAGGAGACATTTTTTTTTTGTCTTTGCAGGATCCCACTCCAAAACGTGAACAGCATTCTCGTCAAATTCCAAGTTTAAGTTGACTGCCAAACTAAACATCAAACCAAGAGAATTACATGTTTTGTTTGGAAAACAACCACATAGCTTCGCTCATTCTCCATTCGCATAAAGTTAATGCTAACGTGGGCAATGAGTCGCATCTATGTGGCTGTCTTGCAACTCTTTCAAAGGTGCAGTTTGCAGTTGTCTAACTGCTAGCAAGATGTGAATGTCGCCATCTCAGCCGCGGCAGCTCCATTGCTCGCGTAGCTTATTCGTGGAGTGTTGCAAAACTCGAAATGTGTTTTGATGTTATTTAGTTGGAATGTGCTGACAACAAAATGGGTCGAAAGAAGGCTGATTTTTTTGGGGGGGAGTGGTTGTTGCAATCCTAACATTTTAAAACCTGAGTAAACCATAAAACCGGTAATTGACCCATGCATACTCATGGTCATATATTGTCTTCTTTATCATCAGGAAAGAGCGACATTATGAATCCTACTTGAGTTCTCGGCAGGGCACGCCCGATCTCAATATGAAATCGTAAGTGTGACATATGAATTGGCCTTTATCCTACCCCAACGTGGCCTCAAGGTGCATTTGCGACTTGTGAACTATTTGCTTGGCTGATGAAAAACGGAACACGTCGTTTCCGTTCGTGTCGACTCCCGTCCTGTAGGCGGCGGTAACGCTCAGCACAAAATGGCCGGCAATTGCAACCCTTCCCAAACTATCAGCGTGACGGGAAGCGCAAGTGTATGGAGTCGCGGCTATTTGGCGGTAAACAAACAGCAGTCGCCGCGAGCCTGATTGTATTAGCTCATCCGTCCATCAGTCCTTGTGTGAGGTCCGCAGTGCTTTCTCAACAGGATGCCTCACTCGTTCTTCCCTTCCTCCCTTCATCCCTCCCTCCCGCTGACATCAGCTTGGGCACCTCACCCTGCTGTCTCTGCGTTGGTGTTGCCATGGAAACAGCCGTGTGACAGGTCCTGGGTGGGTGTGAGGGATGAGCCGCGGGGGTAATGGCCAGGCTTACAGTAGCGACAGGATGGAGGGATGGGGTGGGGGTAGTGGCGGGGGGGTTATGGTTGATGGGACGCCGTTACGAAAGAGGAGCAGTGAGACTATTTACCCCCACTGCTCTCCGAGGCGTTCCGTCATTGTCTTTTTTTTTTTTTTAACTGACCTGGAATCAGCCACGCCGCCCATCCGTCCGTCTACAGTATCTGCCGGGATTGGGAGTGGGTGTCATTTGTTGCGAAGGAGGGCGAGATGAAGTCGATATTGCATCATCAGAACAACCCGTGCGTGGAATCTGGCACTTCCCGAAGGTCCAAATCAGGTGGCAATCAGACGTGGATAACGGGGAGAAAAAAAAAAAATCACACGAAACAAGTTGGAGGAGGAGTGGCCATGATCGCCGGCGAAAGCTCATGTCAATTACAAACAGCCAATCATAGGAAATCGCATATGCTTAAGTGGAGCAATTTTCACAACACGTGACACCAGCGTGCTGATCTTACAAAAAAAAATAATAATAATTTTATCTTTCACATCTTATTGAATATACTGTCCGTATGTTTATTTTCGTCTCTTAAAGGGGATTAACATCTGTTACTGTTGACACAGAACAAAAGCACTTTATAGGTAGGTGGATTCAGTAACCAAAATGCTCTTCAAAAATAAAATCAAAATTGATTAATCAAAAAAAAAAAAAAAGATAAAACTCACATAAAGGCATTATAACCCAGGCAGGCCAGTGTTTCGACTCGCCCAATCTGTTCACTCACGCCGTTCTCTTCTCGTAATAAAAAGGATGAGCGTAAGCTTTCGGAACGGTGTTTGGCGATCTCTGTCTCATGTTGTAATGTCTTTGCCGGTTTTTAATGAGTTCACATCTCCTAATTAATCGGTCAGCCCCCGATGATAAAAATAATAATGATGATGATGATAATGATAAACCAAAAAATAACAGAACCATTGCGATAGAAACACTGCCTCCAACGAAAAGATTAAAACCGAAGCTCTCCTCAGGTGTCCGCGACAGAGCAGTGATACCGGTTATACCCTTTTTATTTGACTGTTAAATTTTCAGAGCGATACGTTGACTCTTGTGCTTGAATTGTTCATGAAAAGGCAACGAGCGGAAAGGCGACGCCTCGCCACCGGCCCGTGTCTCTGGCATCCCCGCCGTTCGGAGTGCTCCGATGTAGGTCAGCCGCCGCCGAGTCCGTATTGATCCTAAGCGAAATGATACTGCGGGGATGTGCCAGGTCGCGGCTAAGAAGGTGCCTCCGGCCGCCCGTGATTTGGACAGACGGGCACACGAGGCGGGTGTGTGCCAGACCTCAGCGCTATTTGTTCCATCCGAAGTAAACGCGAGCCTCTTTCAGCGCATATTACCGTATTTTCCGCACTAAAAGGCGTACCTAGAAGCCTTCCATTTTCTTAAAAGCTCACAGCGTGCCTTCAAACCCGATGCGCCTTGCGTATGGTCATTACGGTAATAAATCAACCCCAAAATGGCTCCTTGCTCGAGACAACGCTTACAATGCAGATCTCAAACTTAAGGCGATCGGTTTCGCAGCTGAACGCAGAAATAGAACAGCGGCAAGAGAGTTCGACGTGAACGAGTCAATGTTCTAACTTGCTGTCGGTTAAGTGAACTGTGTCGCTGTTTTATGAAATAACTTTTACTGACATCTGATCGATCTGTTGGTGTTTCCTTGAGCGTAGCTCCATCTAGTGGATGCGTTGTAGATTGCGTCTTAAAATGCCGCACGTCCAATATCTGAAAAAAATTACAAAATAGGCCATTCGTTGAAGGTGCGCCTCATAATCCAGTGCGCCTTTTAGTGTGGAAAATACGGTCATGAACATTTACCGTCCAATGTAATAATGCCAGATTATCGCCATTGACTCTGTCGTTGCTTGGCAGGTTGTAATTGGAACGCATTCGAACGCATTATTGCTAATGTTTAGCCATCTTTGCAATGCCCTAAAGAAGGAAAGTAGATTAAAAAAAAAAATCCTCATTTCCACAAGCCGTGTGAAACAATATAGCGTCAAAGCCAAACAACCGTTACTGTACATCAAAGATTTTGAGTTGTCGTCGTGATGATGGGCGAAATTGCTTCCGTCTCAGTGTGTTCGTGCTTCTGGTTGCTAGCATGTGGTTGGAACAGGGAGGGAATCCTTGGCACGAGGCGGAAGCGGGTAGGGGGGGTGGGGGTGAAAAAAAACCTCACATTTGGCCAGCTTGTCCGCCGGACTTGGCGGGTAGGGAGAGCTGGGGTAGGTGCAGTATGAGCGGCGAGGGACTTTTTTCTCACCCTCTTGCTGCCGGAATGTGAGGCGTCACCTTCGGGTGCGTTTGGATTGTGTGCGTTGTTTTTTGTTTTTTTCCCCCGGGCTTACGCCGAGTGGCGCTTTGCTGACTCGGCAGCGTTCTTGCACTGACCCGCATTGTCCACCGCCGTCTTAACTTTTTTTTTTTTTTTTCGTTGTTTTCCTCCCTCGCCACCGCAGGGGGTCTGCTGAACCGAACCGAGTTCTCCGTGTCCTTTCTCCATACCGCGCTAATGAGATATAGCTCCATGTGAATATTATCCATAAATCAACACGCCGTCTGCTCATATCCTATTCTGGACTTGATGGGGAAAAATGGACTCGGTGTTAAGACATAATATGGTCGCCGTTGTAAGAGATTGTCATATGATGCACAGCATTACTACGCTTTTATAAAAAAAATAAAGGATGATTTAATCAAAATCAAAGCGACATAAAAATTGTTCCAAATTTGTCGACAGTTGCTCAAGATGAAATGCAAATGAAGTGAACATAAAAGTTAAATACAACTGAACTGGCATTCTTTAGCGTAGCACTCTTAAAACTCATTCAGTACCAGCCAATTCTAGACCAAGTCTGAAAAAAAAACGTTTAAAAACGTCTTTGGGAGTGAATGAGTTAAGAAGCAAGCATAACGCTGATCAGTGTTGTTGCCAAATATTTTGGTCGACCGCTGCCGTCGAGAATCGGTTAGTTCACCCCCCAAAAAAAAACAAACGACAAAATACCGTTCCGACTGTGATCGCTTTGCCCCCAAAAAGGTTAAATGGTCTTAGTCATCGGGTCCACCTGACCTGCTTGTCAGTGTGTTTCAGGCATGGGACTTACTCAAGTTGAATGGCAAGAGAAAGAGCTGCTATGCTTTGCTTTTAGTTGATTTTTTTTTTTCCCCCTCTCTTCCTTTTTTTACACCGCTTCTCTCCAATGTCTGGTCCAATTACATGTTCCTCTGTCAGGTCCTAATCAGCTAATGCCGGTTTTAAAAGTCATGTCCTAAAATGTTGTCCTCGCCGCGTTTAAAAACTTCATCTACCTCCAGCGGAATATTTTACAACTGTGTCCCACTCTTGCGGATTGTGTCAGGCTTTAGAGTTAATAAAGTCCGTGACATAGTTGTGTCAGCTGACGCCTCCCTCCTCCCCTCGCCACTGTACAGCCTCGGGCCTCGACTGGAACTCATTCCATAGAAACTGTGACGGGCGTTAAATGGCGGCCGATGCGTAAACGGTACGCGAGAGCTCGGCAGTCGAGGTGCTGACTGGTCACGAGACGAGCATCTTCTCCCTGCGTTCGTTCCGATCGGAGCCTTTTGTTGACCACCGGGAGCTTAACTCATTCACTCCCAAAGACGTTTTCAAACGTCTTTTCAGACTTGGTCTAGAATTGGCTGATACTGAATGAGTTAAAGACGCTCATTTGGGTCTTCCGCGACGAGCGCGGCGCATCTGAATTTTTCCGTTTTACCGACTGAAGACGTCAAATGCTCCGTTGGCGCTCATGAAAAGGATCGCGCCGGGTGCCGTGGCTCTTATTGGCTCCCGATACGGCACACGACTGGCGTTTGACTGTCACCGCCGTCCCCGCCGAAAGCAGCTGCCGTCGCAACAACAGATGTGCCGGCACCTGGCACGAGTCGGCGTCTCTATCAGAGGCGGCCGTTGAAATCCGCTGGCGCGGCGTCAAACGCGTTTATAAATACCTTCCAGTGAGCGCGGCGCGGGCCGAGCACCCGGGTGTTATCAAGAATGCGCCTCGGTGAGTTTGTTAGGCCCCGGGAGACAAAGTTCGGTTGAAATTCAGAGCTGAAAGACTTGTTTGTCGAGGTTTTGCACCCCCCCCTTGTTTCTCCATGTTTACACATGCAGATAACAGCGCACTGAACCACCGTAGTTGCATGACTGAAGCAAAGTGAAATTTAGTGTCCTAGTGTGTGTGAAAGCGAACCTCCGAAGAATGCTAAAACTGGATTAAAATGTGAAGCGGCGGATATTTGGATTGCGTTTATGATTTATTCAATGGATCCCGCGTTCCTCACTCGAAACAAACGACAACTTGCCGCCTTTGTTCCTTGCGTCAATTCAATCTTCTCTGAATTGCCGTTCATTTGCGGATCAGAAGCAAACCTTGAGCGTTACTCACCCTCCCCCGAGCAATTAGATCGGGTGTTTTCATTCTAATTGAATCGAAGGCCATCAGTGGGTAATTCTGAAGGCACCGGGGTCGGGACTCCATTGGCGTTTAACCCCGCTGTGACCTGCTTCACTTTCTGCTGCGTGATCCCTTCACCCGCTTTTGTCCCGTCTGAACCCGATTAGCTAGCTCATTAGCATTGTTAAGCTAAAATGGGTGCCAAAGCCTCGATGGAGACTTTGGGATATCAGAGTCAGCCGATACCAAGTCCTGACTTGGGCAATGCTTTCAGGGAAAAAAAAAGTGTGTGCAATCCGACTTTTCTCAAATTAATATACATACTTAGTGTACATCATTGTGTGTGTATATATTGTTCTATTTATTTAGACCATTCCACCAAATCAGTGCCAATTGCTCTTTGTAATACTCTCAAAATAACATTTTAATTATTCATTTATTTTTTTAAGCACTAAATTTGCTGATACACCTTGAACATTTCAACGTGTACCGGTTCGTCTCAGAACTTGTTTTATCATGTCAGTTTTTGGGACGGAAACTCTGTGGGTCTTTAGCGTAAAGTTGGCAAATACAGGCAGTGTACCCATTACATTTATGCTAATTGAAAGGCATCCATCCATCCATTTTCCGATCCGCTTTATGCTCACAAGGGTCGCGCGGGGGGGTGCTGGAGCCTCTCCCAGCCGTCTTCGGGCAATAGGCTGGGGACACCCTGAACCGGTTGGCTGCCATGCATGTTTTTGGAATGTGGGAGGAAACCGGAGTACCCGGAGAAAACCCACGCAGGCCCGGGGAGAACAAGGAAACGCCACAAAGGGTATTCATTTGGTTGACTGGCCCATATAAGCATTACCATAGAATGGGCTTCTCGATATCGGGCATCTTTCGGCTTGCTTCTACCTCCAAACAGGCTTGGAACACCAACCCAGCGCTCTGTCTCCTCCTGCACGTGTCTGTGGGTGTGTACATGTCACACTACCTGCATGGCTACAAAATATAACCAAAGAAAAAAAAGAAAAACCACAAAAAATTGTGAAATATAAAACTAAGCTACGACTGTTCTATTTGGCAAGATATTTGCACATTTGGATAATTTTGTAGCTCTGTGTCCGTTTAAAGGTTCAGAAATGAATGAAATCTTTTTCAGCTGAAAATCACGTGATCGACCCTTGATTACTCATCACATGATTGGATCGGGACATCCCTAGTTTGCTGCATGTACCTTGTTTTTAAACTTTTTGGGGGTTTTGTTTGAGTTTGTCCTTTCAAAATAACTGCGTCGCGTTTGTCCTGTCACCTCGATCCGCCAATCGGGCACGAGCATGTGACGGCCTTAGAGCTCAGAGGAAATTCCTCCGCAGGATGAGAATTTTAGCGGCTGGCAGGAAAGTGAAAAGAGGAAGGTTGAGAAATGCGGAATTATACGAGAGGCGTGACTTGATTAGTTGGCACAATGATGGTATACAAAGGCCCCGCAGAGCTCTCATACTGGTCGCACGTTGTATTTTCTAATTATCTAAAGGGGAACATGACTTCTCCGTGTGTCTAATTAATTGTGGGCCGTGATTAGAAAGGCACACACGGCGTAATTTTCAAGCCCTCCCGGGAGATGGAACAACCCCGCAGACACATTTATGCTAACGTGCTGAGAAAACAGACAGAGATGGCCGTGAAAGCGTAGGGCTTAGTTTCTCATATCATTCCGGTTATGCTCCGTAATCTCTATGTTGCTGCCGTTTTTTTGAATTGTGGGTTCCACAGAATTGTTTTGGAGAAACTCATGAAACATGCGCAAAAATGAAGGTACCCCGATAAAAGATGAAAAATGTTTGGACGAAAGGGGCATTTTTGGCCCCATGGTGTGGACCCAACGAAATATGGACCAGAGGAAGCGAAGGAGAGCGTTGTCGTGGGAGATTAGAAAGAAATTATAGACGTACATTGAAGCTATAGGCCAGCTACAAGCAGCTTGATGTCCCTGCGACTACAGTTCCACATATTATTCAGAAACCGAAGATCCACAAATTGAGGGGACAAATAACACAAATGGTCACAAAATGTTCACATTGGGGTACCAAGAGTTTTGTACACGTGTGTAAATATCCCAGACCAAAAATGATCTTTAATCTAGCAGCGTGCCCCAATTATATTGCTTTTTTTTTTTTTGGTAAATGTGCCCGCTCATCATTTTCTCTTGTGCCTTTCAGCTTGCAGAAGTGGACGATGCTTAGAGCTTTCCCGATGTTGTCGTCTTGCAGCGATGGCCTGAGGGACTCCGCGCACTGAAACCAAGGTGATAAGGGCTGGGGGGGGGGTTTTAAAATGCCAGGAAGTGTTTCCTAAAATCTCCATCACCGGTTTTTAGGCTTTTGTAACATTCTGAGGTTGAAACGAGGACAACATATTCTTCCAAAAAGAGGGAGATGTGATTTTTATCTCTGAAGCCCAAACTGAATCAGTAGTGCCTAAAACAGTGACTATTCATGCTAACATACGCACAGTATCACCGGTTTTTAGGCTTTTGTAATATTCTGAGGTTGAAATGAGGACAACATATTCTTCCAAAAAGAGGGAGATGTGATGTTATCTCTGAAGCCCAAACTGAATCAGTGGTGCTTAAAACAGTGACTGTTCATGCTAACAGTAGCATAGAAGTGGCGTTTAGCATTGTTAGCATTAAGCCAAAGAGCCTTTCCGAATGCAAAGGTATATGGTTGTTTCAAATATTCATGTTGAGTGGGATAATCAACTTCAACTGATGTGAAAAAAAAACGGCAATATGTACGTGCTTGTACCATTCGCCAGGGATAATCAAAACGCCGTTAGCATCGACTCGCAGGGTGTAGGGGGGAAAAAAACAACATGATTCAATCAGTTCCTTCTTCGGTAGTTGCTTCAGGTCTTTTTTGTGCACTCCTGTTTATATAGCGCCTCCCTGGTGGCACAATGCTGCAACTGCACTTAAAACAGCTGGATTGAGCGATATCAATCGGTCTGGGGGGGGGGGGGGACAAAAATATGTGGG